AGGTATTCAACAAAATGAGACAGGTAAATAAGTAAATAAGTAAATTAATTAATTGATAAAATTTATAAATAAATGTGTGAGAGTGAGTAATGATTGCTTATTCACATATGCATATCTATTATCTATGCATTTTAATGCAGAAGTTTGAAATTTTCTGAAATCACATTGCTAACCAATATGATCATCTATATTACAGCATATCTGTAATAGTTAATTCTCATGCTACTATGTAATTTACTAACTCATCCTTCCATCTTATTGTTTGTGTAGTAATATTTGCAACTGCTGAGCAATTTCTATTTTGCACGATTGAGAAAGATGATAATTACAGTGCATCAGAATTACAGTCATAGAATTACAAAAGTGATACACAAAACATTGCCATACTATTTATTGAAAACAAAACTTGCTTGTGACAATTGTTTGCAGCATTAAAATTAAAACTAAATTTATTCTTCACACTGTCTCATCAATATTGCAAATTTCAGAAAATGTTCTTTCTATTTTACCTCTTTATCTCAAAATGCATAAATTTTATCGTATTGTAAGCGAAATCAAATGTCAATTTCGATAAACTGTTTAGTTAAATGTATTTCGCTCTGAGAAGTTTACTTAGATGCAAGCCAGCAAGCAAACTGATTAATTATCGAAATCAAATTTTTAATCCTCTCATTCCATTACTGCCTCTAAGCGGAGTATAATATAAATAATTCTTTTATTCTCGTTTTTCTTCTACACCCTTTTATTACCCCAAGGCAAGTTTTCTCCAAAGTCTAATAATCCATCTAAAATAATAATCATCTATTATCCACTAGTCTTTACGTTGCAATGTTCATTATTAGTCTTTTACAAGACTTCTCACTGTTACTCACATCATATTAATTAGTACCAGTATTGTTGTTATTGTGCACGAAACTTACTCATACCCATACGAGCAGTTTTGGAATAATCAATGCTTCAGGTCACAAAAACAATTGCCAGCATATTAATTTATTCGTAAGTCTGAAGTATTGCAATTCATTTGATAAATGCCAGTATTAATTATGGATTTTTGATTATACGAATGTTTAAAAAGCTAGATTTAACAAGTATTTAAAGCACTGTTTAAAAGTGTTATAAGTTTCAGCAAGACGTTTTATACTTTTGGTAATTATTCTTTTCTATTTATTGCAGCAAGATTGATCAAATGACAATTAGCAAAAAATATGCGCCATTATTTATATGACAGTTTTGCATGCGTACCGTGAGTTTGCTGCACATGATTAGTTGATAATAGCAAAAAATATGTTTGTGAAAAAAATAATCTTCTTGAGCTTGATTCCCCATTTAAAATACTTTTTTTTCGCTTTTTGATTCAAAAGCTTAGCATGTCAAACTTGAATTCAGATCAATTCAATCTTGTAAGGTAACTTTTTAGCATTTTGTTTGACATAAACCTCGGGTCTACACTGGAATGCTTCAAACATTATCCTAATTACTACCTTGGTAAGCATGGAAACGTAGTTATACTAAATATTGCTAACATCAGTTCCTGCTTGGATCACTGCTTACAGGTCTTTCATCAGAAATCTGTAATTTTATTTTCTCAAAAAGCCTTTGTTTCATTTTGTTTTTAACAGAGTATTTTGGACAAAATACAGATAAAACTTTGTAACTAGTTCTTCTAGAAGTGCAAATAAATATGATTTACCAAATTTGAACGCCAACATTATTACAAATGATTAACTTCCTAATGTTAGTCTCAGAAACTATATGGGTTCATTTGTCGGTCAGCGATGATCGATAGGGTTCAAAAAGAATGCTTGATCAGTAAGTGGAGCCCATACTTAATCACACCTAGCAGATATCAGTCAAGAGTTGTACATACAGATTTCTATCAAAATATCTGCATATCTTCAGCAGATCAGGTATGATAAATTTGCTACTGAGAATTTTAATTTATGAGGAAGTTAAAAAATTTCACAATGTTGTAATTGCGGTGCTTTTTTATGAACCAAATTAAAATCATTAATTGCCATTGGTATATAGCAAGAAAGTTGTTCTAGATACAAGACTTCACGGCTGCACCTCCAAGAACAACCCTTTCAATATCAATCCCATTTATTAAATTAGGCCTACCATCCTCGTCCGAGCAGATTGTTTCAACTCATAGATTTAATGACGATTCATCTAACATCACTGCTAAGCTTCAAAAACCAAAGGAACCACCTTTGGCCTCCATACTTTATAGGTTATTCCGTGTTCGTTCATCTATTGATAAATTTGCTTGTAGTTTCTTTTTTATTTTTATTTATATTTATATAGTTATTAAATTACAAAAAATGTTTTCGAACAGTTAATAAGGCTCAAAATTAAACTTCTAAAAAATTCTTTCAAATTTTTATTTATTGCTAAAGAAAAAGCTAAAACTTGCATAAAGTTCATATTAATACACTTTTTTCAGAGTATAAAGATAAGTAGACTCACTTTTGTACTATAATTAATGATGAGAACTCAGAGTATTGATAAAAAGATTCAATGTGAAACAAAAAGATAGTTTCAAGAGATCAAAGCTACTGAAACTTTAGATATCTTCAGCAAATCGAAATACTTTAAATAGAAATGTATAATTAAGATATTACATAAAAAATCAAAATTTATTACACATTATAAGTAACTAATTAAAATTATGGAAAGATTAATGAATATGGAATTATGGACTAAATGAGTGACTACCATTTACTTTTGTAAGCTGGGTGTGCAGCACTCATGACAAGCAAGCTACTGTTCAGAAAGTTAGAAGTAGGGAATGAAAAAATTTTGCTGTGAAATAATGTCTTGACGCTACATAACAAATGAGGAGCATTATAACTATATTCATTCAGGTGTTGGCCAGACTTATTTTCTCACTCCTAGGTTAAGAATATATTATATTTAAAATTTTCATTTATATCCAGCTGTCCTTGTATTTGGCTATTCATTCATATTCAGATCAAAGGAGGCTGCTGGAAAAGCTTGGTCTCGCTATAAACCAAAAAAAAGGACTCGGGCATTATATAATGGTTATCAAAGTAATGAAGATTACCTTGATGATATCACTGATGATGATGATGATGAAGATGATGATGATGATAATGATGATAATGATGATGATGATGATGATGATGAAGTGAATGACGACGTTTCATCTGAGGAAATTGATGCAGTGCATGGCTTACCCAAGTCATTGAATAATGAAGCAGTTAACAGCACTAATAACAGTGGTGCTAATCGGATTTCCAGAAATTCGTTGGCATCTGCTTTAAAAATGAAAAGTTCAAAAATTAGATCAGACATAGCAACCCCTCATCATAATTTGCACTTTTTTAAAGTTTCTCGTCCAAAGAATACTTCCTCCAGTAATTTACTTTCCAGAATTTATCCTTCTACCGATCAGTTTGTCAATATCATAAATAATACAGTTACCACTACTACCTCTACGAGTAGCACTATGACAACAAATATTATGCCTGTTACTCGAATAACTGAAGTGAATTCTCCCAAAATTTCTGCATCATTTTTTGTACCAGTTCCAGCAAATCCTTCTCGATGGAACACAACTACAAAAGATTCAAAACTATTCATTGAACATCGAAATTATGCTCTTAATATCGGTGTTAATGAGCAACATCCTGATAGTCGACAAGTAATTCGTAATAAATTGATAGAACAACTCAGGTGTTTTCATTCCATACCAAACAGGTTTCATATTATATCTTCTCTCTATCAGTAAACTACATATTATGATCTATTTCTTATCATTATTATACAATATATAGCTATAATCATTGAGAATATTTAAGAAGCGGAAGCATTAAAAATGATTCTTATTTCTACTAAAATTTATCAGCAAATTAAAAGCTACGTATTTTTCTATCCATTTTTAAATAATGACATGTGATCAGTTAAAGTGAAATACAAATAAAGCATCCATTTTATATATTTCAATTAGCAGTTCTTCATTCATATTTTTATTGCTTTTTTGCAGAAGTTTAAATGGTTATGAGCAAGAAAGAATCAAACAAATTGGCTTACAAGATTGCTTATACAACTGCATTCTACGTGTTGCATTTTTGTGCTTAAGCGTTAATTACGATAAATATTCAAAAGAAAGTTTTAGATATTTGCATCTGAAAATTTATTTTATTAATAAGTATTCTATATTTTTTCAAAACAACACACAACAAGGACTAATAAAAATTAAGTATTAATTATCAGTTAACTGCATATTATTTCTTTTATCGATTCCCATGTTACGTTTTTATATAATACCAGAAGTCGAAATATTTGAACAATGTGCATAGTTGCAGTAGTAAGTGAAGTGAGATTCTTGCATTTATATTTATTTGCATGCTATGCTAGAAAGAGACAATTATTAATGATGTCCTCCCTTGTGTATAGCTCGTAAAACATAATATCATCATTTTCTGTCTAACAACTTCAAGAGTTAATTCGAAAAAATGCTTCAGAATTTCTAGTGTGTAAAAACTGCATAACATAATTTTACATATCACCATTGTCCATTTCTAGGCATTTTTTAACTGATATTACTGGTATTCTTTAATGCCATATATATGATATGATTTTCAGCTATGTATTTTAAATGGAGGCAATCGAATAATCAACAATGCACGATTACAATCATCCAAATCTACAGATTATTATGAATTCGTCTGCATTAGTGCCGAGAAAATAAAATCGGAGAAAAAACCAGCGGACCGTAAAATTTAACACTTTAGATCCTTTATTACTTATCATTGATGTGATAAAAAAATCAATTTTAAACTCAAATAATTACTTGACTAACTTAGAAAATATGACATAGAAATCAGAAGCAATTTCTACTTTAATTTTTTTATATTTTTACATAAAGGAAAAGGTAAAATGCTCAATTTATTCTAGACTCTGAGAATTACGATATCAACGAAATACGTAAATGCTTTTCGATATGTGAAAATGCCATGATTCATACATTGAACGGACTTATTGTGGATGGTATTTACACGCCATGTAAGTTAGAAATATCAATTGACAACTTTATATCTGATTTGACGTTCAAAAAATGAATATTTAATAGGTTTGCATGAAACGAAAAAGAGTGAAAAACTGAATCAAATATTAGATAGCAAACACGATCTGAGGAATTAGACTTATTACTGTGAATATAATAAACTGCACTAATCATTATCTGCAATGAATAGAAGCAAAAATTGAAATCTTTACTTTTCTCTAGCAGCATACTATCTATTCTACTTATATTTAAATTGTCTAAATGAATGCCAAAATTATTTTCTCATAATATCATACTATTTTTAGTGGAATGTTTAAGTGTATGTGCGCTATCACGTCATGTATATCACGCAACATGTTATTCCGTTAATTGGTTCAAAGACACTCGTACTTGCTATTTACACACTTCAAAAACTAAACTAGAAGACTTGAATGCTACAACTTCTTCAGATTTTTTCTTAAATAACTGTGCTGGTAAAGGTACAGAGTAACACGATGTTTACATTTAGAAATTTATACAGCAGTACGGATCAGCTAGCGAATCACAAAATTTGAAAAAAAAATGGCTCCCTTATTCAAAAAAAAAACTTAGACGAAAGTATGCTAGCTCATTTTTGCGGTTTTTAGTGTTTTCTGAAATTATCTGGCTTTTCTAACACGTGTTTCATGAGGTTTTGCATACAAGATAATAAATAAAAGAAGGAAAAAAGCCAAGCCTTACCATTCTTTCATGTCTACAAATAAATACTTCTAGATTTCACTACCGGAAATGTGGAAAGTAGCGAATGCGAGGACGATGAATGTGATAGTAGAGATCAGAAATTATTATGGCAATAACTACTTGGGGAAGAGATAATTGTTTTATGTCCACTCTTATTCTAACAGATCAAATTAATTTTCCACCTCCAATTATTTGTATTGAGTTTAAACCTATACAAAAACGGAAACATGGAATTAAATAATAAATTATAAACGAGCTCTTTAAGTATTTCACTTACATGGCATCAACCGAAATCCGTCACTGAGTGATAGTTGCCAAGCTAATTATTACACAATCTGAATACATTCTTCAGGATCTAAGAATATGAACTCAGTGACACACATATCATTGTCCTACATCAAATCCTACTCAAGATATGAACTTAAAAATTATTGACAACTGACAGTCCTCATCTGCGTCCAAATTTTGTTACTGGTGATACCTGCATTGTAATCACACCTTCTCCCACGATTTTTTCAATGTTTAATACCAAATATTTCATCAAACACATCAATTTATTATATTTCAGAATGTTCAAACACGAAGAGAATTGAGGTGCAAAAAAGCAGAAAATAATCTTGCTCTCTTACTTAATAACAGAATCAATATCGGAATGACACAATATAATACAAAGTAAAGATCAAGAAGACTTCTATCAAGCACATAAATATAACGGCAAATAAATACAAAGACGTCTGAAGCATCTAAAAATAAGTTTATATCTTGATACTAAACTCTAGTATCACATGCTTTTCGTGAAACATATTACTGATATACATTCTACATATTCTAAAAAGAAAGTAATGAATATAAATTAGTTAGATATTTTTCTGCACTATAAGATACAGAGCCCTAAATTGATTTGAAACAGTCTTGCTTCTTGTAATCTCACATTAATTTACTCTATCAAACCAAACCATTCAATAAATCGCTCGGAAAATTGACAATAAAAGCGCAGTTCAACTATTTTAATTATAAACAAAGTAATCGATAAAAGAGAAAGTTTTTTTGAAAAAAATTTCTTTGCAAGTATTTTGATAAAAATCTTTATTTTCAAAATAAGTATGGTCAAAAATTCTAGCACACAATTTGTTGACCATTTACCAAAGTTTTATAAAAAATAAATAAATAAAAACTCAAAGATTCAGTCGAAACACATGAGCACAGAGAACAAGTAAAAATCGTTCTCGTCGGCGAAATTTCTCGAGCTGACTCATATTGTGAGAATTCATCTCTGGTACTGAAATTGCTTGTAACTGAAAGAGAAATAAAAATTACTAACTTTAAAAATCTGAATTGTCATCACTCTTCTGCAATGCTCAATCATCACTGATATTATCAGCACTTTGCAGAAAGTACAGCCTACTCAAAAGCTCAGTTTTACAAAATAAAGTATCGAAAATGAATTGTTGCATCGACTATAAGCTTAATCAGCGATGAAGGAGCGCTTTAAAAAATTTAAAGAACTTACCAAGCATTTTTCTTTTTTATGAAGATTAAGCTTCCCATAAACATCTGGAAATACAGTACCATGATGATGACATTAATAAAAAACAAGTGAATGTAAATAATGAGAAACCAAAATGCTAATTCTTGAAATACTGTGCTCATAAACTTTATGGTCTATGATAATTTGTTTCAAAACACGTAAAAAAGTACTAGTTTGTTTCTAATCAACCAAAAATTTCTAAATTTCATATCACCTCACTACATGTAACTGGATTTTTATAATGACCCTATTTTCTAATAATTGTATGATTATTGATACAGATACCTTGTAAGCATTTTTCACTAGCAAAATTCTATAAAAGCGAAAAGTAGATACGAAGTTCTCACTTATCTCATATTCAAAGAAAACAATACGATTATCAAATAAAAATATTATTTTGACTCAACAAGTGTTTTTGAAAAAATCAGATAACGAATATTAAAAAGTTCAGAAGCACTAACCGCTCATAAATTCAACTAAATTCATATCACTTAGTAGTGTAAAATATCCACATGCATCATCAAATGAATCACCGCAAGTTTTCATTAGTGATGCTGCCGTTGAAATATAGCGCTCCGGGACAGTTCGCATGAACTGACAAATTAAAGCACTCGCTGTTTCATTTCCAATGAATCGTAAACAATGCTGCACTTTTCGCCACATCTGGAGAGATTCAACTTTTTTATTCATCTTCACATTTCTTCTCAATACATAATTCATTCAGAAACTAAAAAGACCTGGGTACGACCGTGTACAATAAACCTGCTTCCCATATTCTCGACAAAATTTTATTTTTTTTATAGCTGCAATTGCAGGCTGATATAAAAATACCATAATTCTATACTACTTTCATTTTGAGCTTGACATTTTAAAAAAGAACAAACAAGCTAATATCTGCACTTACTACGTCATCAACAACATTGTCCGGAAGAGGTTTAAGTAAAGACTCACTGCAAGCTACACATGCTTCCATATATAGCACCAAAGCATCAAAAAACTTGTCGCAAGCTAAAACTGATAAAGTAAAAATAGAAATAGTTTCTCTTTTCTAAAATTACTCTGCGACAAAATCAATAATGACAGTAGCCTTGTATCATTTTCCAAAGATTATTAAAAGTTCAGTGATATAATTCACCAAAGTGAAAATCGGCGTATGATCTTAACCAAAATGCATTTATTGGGTTGATCATCAACGCATTTTCGAATACAATGTGAAGGCATTCAACCAAAAATGGTATATCGAACTTTGGTTCATCGCCTGCTTGTTTCCTTAAAAGTATAGGTATGAAATAAAGAACTTTGATTTTGAGATACATAGAAAAATACATTAAATGCTGTATAAAGCTGTTTGCAAAAAAATTACAAGCAGGAAAATCATACGAGAATACAAGATTAAGCCTATTTTATTCATGATATAATTGAAAAAATTCCAAATCCTCTTTCATTTTTTTCCTGCAAAGTTCTTCAGTAGCATGTGAATTTTCAGACATTTTCAAGCTACGATGACTCACGCGCATTACTTAATATATAGTGAATTTCATTCAAACAATGGTCATATCTTACTCAGTACAGGAATGCCAATATTCGGGATGCTCAATGAATATATCTTTCTCAATATCTTGCCCTGCTGATAATCCACCGATTTCTTTCATGACTTTTAGTTCGTTTTTAGCTGCTGTAAACATTTTTCCAAGAAAACTGATCAAGAATGATATGGTTCGGTATTCCTGCAGCATTAATTAATCAAATAAAATAAAAGACCTGAAATGAAATGCAAAAACCTAAATTCCTCGACATTTTAATGTTTTGCAAAATATAGACTTTTTACTTGAAAAAAACCTTGATCAGTCGTATCATTTCCAGGAACTGTGATTTTGTGACCAGCAGTTTACAGTCAATCAATTGTCCCTCGTTTCGCCTTTTACTGTAACATACAACCTAATGTCAATCATTAATACATTCATAATTTGTGAAAAAAATTTAAAACGATACGTCTTGAAATTTGAAGAATTATTACTAAGATTAAAGGATTGATTTTTACATATTCTAATAAAAACCTGCTTGTCTGACACTCTTGAAAAGTTGAACTCATAACATGCCACCATGGACCTTCGATAATTTGTCGAGCAACTATTGAATCAGTACTAGTCATATAAGCACCAATCATTTTTGCTACATCCAAGAATGGACTCCTTAATCTTAAACAAGCAAAAGAGTGAGTGAACAATAAATTATAGACTACTATATATATATAATTGAACTACTGTAATCCTTAAATTGATGTAAGTTTGGATAGTTTAAAATAAAATTTGTAAGCTACAAAATAATTTACATTTTCAACTATATTTGAGATATAAAATACAAATTATTCATTATGAACTTACTTTATAAATGAGCGCAAAATAAAATCCCATTCGCTTGTATTCATGAAGAATGTCACAGTATGGAGCATCATTTTACTAATTGCTGCAGTGTTTGTCATGGACGATTGTACAAATGCTTTAACCGTCAAATTTAAAGTATGAGTGAAATGAACGAACTCAGCGTTATTCGAAACTCTCGATAATCGGGCATGCCAACATTCAAGCTGAATATCAAGTACAAAGTACAGGTAAATAGCCCACAACAGCTATAAACTAAAATTGGTACAATAGCAAAGGTCCAAAAATATGTCTGCTCCGAATACTAAGACATGTCTCATGAGATGAGTTTGTGTTGATATAATATAAAAATAATCCTTCCTTTCTTCTCAAAATCAGGATTTGTAAAGAAAGTAAACAACAAACCCGACATATGTCGCTAAATGACATGCAAATCGATGAGAGAAAAGATTAAGTACTGACTATTTCAAGAACTGGTAACTACTCATCACTACTTTTGATCTAGAAAATTTGTTTGCGATGTCGGTTGTTCTTATCCTTTTAGATTTCATTTCAAAATAATTTATGAACATCAAACGTGAAAAAATAATTGAGAAATGTTAGATGAAGATACGATATAACAACAAATACCTGAACTCTTACAGCATCGTAAGCAAATCGCACTTGTATATCCGGAATTTTTCCCAGTGGTCCCATTTCTTTCACACAGTCATTGCAAAATGTCCGCCATCGCGCTCCATCCTGCAAAAACACTGTCAAGAAAACAACTTTCGAAAACCACTTGATGTATTCAAGGGCTTTTCCAATGTTTTTAAAAAGAAAAAGTGAAATAACACACTCCTATTACTGCTAATTGTTCCAGCTTTCCCAATATCAAGTTGACATTTTCGACATTTCCTTGGGTGGCAGCAGCTGATATAGCATCACCAACCATTCTGCTTATTTCATACTAAAAGTAGTAGATCTTATCAGTAAATTGCAAACCTTTCCAGTTTGAATATCAACATAACACAGCCAGCTCAACTGAAAATCACTTACACGTCTAGGGAGACTGAACTGTGTAGACAGTTTTGAACACAACGATTTGATTTCAGGCATGTCAAAAGAAACAAGTAAGCGCCACAGATCAATATCACCAGTCAAAAGCTCTTTAAACATATTTTGTCTTGAAATTGTTTTGAACAATAATAATTTAAACAAAACGACCACAAAAAAAAAACAATAATTTGTATTGCTAAGGTGGAAGTGCTGACAATTTCCATCAGTATAAATTTTAGAATATCAACATACCTCTAACATTAGCAATATCTGGTAAAATAGTCGACTGAGTTGGAATATCCTCGAAATTCCCAACATATTCATCGCTAAATTCATGATTTGCCTGCATGGTTTTTTAACAAACATAAACTTTTTTTAAGAAATCGTAAAAAAGTCTCTAAGCAGTTTCTGAACAACGGAACAACTTCAGAAAATCTAACATTTTCGAAATCTTTGACGAAATTTGGGATCTTTGCTGAGAAAAACTGCATTATTTCTTGTAGAGCTGTAATCTTTGCCTTCATTTTTATCAAACGCCAACAGACCTACAAAATTGAGACTACTAGAAATCGTGATAACAAAACACTAAAACAAATATTTCCTTGAACTAACTAATTTAGTATATACTGCACTAAAAGAATTAAATTTAATAGGAGCTAATTTTGAAGTGTCAAAATTACCTTGATCAAATGTGCAGTGGATGTTTTATTTATTAATTTAATCAATGCGTTTAAGGTAGGTGAAAAATCATTGACGAACTGTTTAACAACATTTTCCACAAAAATATCATCAGATGAAGCAGCCATTGATGTGCACGCTATCCTTTGACATTCTGATTGCTGTAACATCGTAAAAGAATCGATACTTTTCATTATCTCAATGCAAATATATAAAAAAGATGCAACACAATAGATAGATCTGACACTTGAAACACATACTTTTCATATCAATTTTTAAGAACGCAGAAGTTAATTCCTGGACTAAAGTACATACTTTTTCATTAACTTCGCTGAATATCGATTCATCATGAATACGAGAAACAGGAGGCTGAAATGAATGAGCAATACCGAATGCATCACAGTAGCCAGCCAAATCATCCACATTTATGCCGAAAATTGGCATAGGATTATTTACTGATCCTTTGTCGTACCTTTCCCAATTTCTAACAATCTGTAAATGAATTACTAAAATACCATCAGATAATATGCTAGGGCACTACTATTAACTTCTGTAATTTTTTCAAAAACCGATAGCATCGCTTCATTTATAAAATTAAATATTGAAAATTTATGAAAACCGAACCAAACACATTATCCATGGTAAAGTTTCAAAATTTAACGCACATCGAGTTCGTTTCAAATCAGACAGATCTTCCATGGTGAACAATCAGAAATACAATAAATTATTATCTTGACTAATACTGCTTCAAACATTCAAAAATAGTAGCCTCTATTGTTAATTCGAACCACACGAGTGCAATTTTCTACGTATGTTCGTTAATAATTGGCAATCATGCCATAATTTGATTTCTTACAAGTTTATTTTTTACTATTAACAGACTCTTCTGATGTTCAATTACTGTTTCTGTCTGATATATACGCAACTGAGCACATTATTTTCAAAATTATCCAGTTTCCCCATATGAGGTATAAATTAGGTGAAAACATTACCTGTTTCAGCTTGTTTCTTGCTTCTATCAAGTTACCAGCAGCAAAATGATTGCACATAAGAGAAAACGAAACCTGAAAATCCATAAAAATATAGAAACGAGAACCACAGAAATTAAACGAATGATAGAACTATATTACCAAAGGAGCCCACAAATCAGGACTGAGCCACCTATCCGATGCTTGGAAGTTAGGAACTTGAACAGGAATAACATTTAGAGATCCAAAATTCAAAAAGTTGTTGATTTTTAAATCACTGCCCTGCAAGTAAACAAAATTAAATATACAAAAAAACTAAAAATAACAAATCAAAAATGAGATATTTGAGCATCTATTGATGCAGTGAATTAAAAATGAAAATAAACTTTTATTAATGGTTCGAGAAAGCAATCCTTTGTTAATACAACCATTTGATCGTTACAGCAACATTCCAGTATTCTTGTTAGAAAACTTCTAGCCCCCTCCACACTTTTTCGCAACTATGAAAACAAATCGAATAAGCTCTTAATTATCGGCATTCTATTACCCTACTTTTTAAATAATGATGTAGACAGAGACGGATTACGCAGGTAATCGAAAATGAATGAAATAGATTAGAGTAAATTTTATAAATACCAATCTTTTAAATACAAGCTTCAATGCACATACATTTATTCAAAAATTAAAAATACATACCTCAATAATACAATTTTTAAACTGCTCTGACTGCATGAGATTAGAGTCGAATTGATTCGCTCTTAAAAAACAAAAGAAAAATAATGTGCTATCAATATATCACATAGCTGCGAACTTTGGTACAAAGGATTAACGAATTCCAAATTATCAGAACATGAGTATCGGCTTAATTCAAAACAGAATATGCTTGAAGAACTCTAATCAAGAGCAAAGAAGAGCATCAAGTAAAATCAAACTATAGCCTGGTGTTCTGGAAACCTTACAAAAATTGTCTAACAGAATTAGAGAAAATAAAAATAGGTGAAACATTTATTAACAAAATTTGAAACCAAAATGTTAAGTTTAGTTGAAATGATATATATCTCAAATGCACCTAAATGAGTTGGTATAGCTGTTTTGCATACTGAAGCATAAAGAAAAAAAGCATGTAGTACTTACGGATTGCTAACAGTTGGTTTAGCAATAATTTCAGGATAACGTCCACTGACATCTACTTTCAGTAACCATGTAGCGTATAACCAACTTATAAAAAAGTGCTCTGGCCTCCTAAATTTCATGTCTGACTCTTTGATTTCCTCCAAAATCGACAGTACATCATCTACCGAACCCTGAAAGTCACATAACTACTAAAATTATTTTATCAGTCAAAAATAATCGTGTTTGAAAATAAAAATATAATTAACGTCGCTGCAAGAAAATATTCAACATACTACAGTTCTCCCAGGATAGCAAAATGCCACAAGTCGATTCATAAGAGCCCTCATTGATAAAATATTGTGACTAAAATGATATTCTTATCACAAGTAATATCTAAAGTTGGTTTTACGATAAGCACTCAACGAATCACAGCATTTAAGCCATGTGAGGAACAGATCAATAATACTCGAAAGACTAAAATTAATAATTTTATTCAATGAAATGTCACTGAGATTCCATGAGCTTAAATTATAACATTAGTTAAGATATTTGAACATTTCACTGATAGAGTAATAAGTATACGATGGAATCCTAAAAGGTACAAAACATAAAAAAAGAACTGTTTCATGAGAGCAAAATCCCAGTTCATAGACGCAAAGCAAGAGAAAGCGTACATCCATAACTTGGTTGATTTATGTCGAATATGAGCCAGATTTTCTAGAAAAATAAAAATTTACTGTCGTCAGAGTCATAAATCAAATCCACCAATAAGTTTAGGTACCCACCTTTATACATTGCATTTGCTGCTGACAACTACAGGTAACTCAAGATCTGATACTTGAAAAATGATACATGATAAACTTACCAATAATTCTAGAGACCAAATTCTTTGTCACAAATAACAAAACTTCCGTGCTGCAATTGCTAATAAAGTTTATATAATACAAAATTTTAGGAAAAAAAACCTTTGTCACATTCAGTCCGTGCGAGTATATCACATTCTCTATCAACTAGTATAGCCTGATCAGTGAACTGACTTCCCAATGTTGAAACTTGCGTGGGATCTCAAAAATTCCTATTTTAAATAAACATACAAATGATTATACATGTAAGAACTTTAACTAAAGTTATAATATAACAGAGAGATAGAGTACTGAAAGAAGCCTTGAAATTGGAAAGAAAATGCCATTTATAGCTATAAACATACAGTAACACTCTTATTTAAAAATTGTCCAGAAAATTTTGAAATTCTAAATGAAACTATATTTATAAATAAAAGCAAATGCAACTTTTTAAAACATAATACTGCCAAAAGATTCATTTGTATACAACCATTACAAAAAAAGAGCATATAAAGCTTTGCAGTGTGAAAAGTTTGAATTTCGAGAAATGAATTTAAAAAAAGTTACTTTGCTGCTTTTTAAACCAGGTTTATAGCTAAGGAATGTAAATATTTTTTATGCTAACGGACTTCACTTAATACATAATTGACTGGAACTCATTTACATAATGGATTCCCACTGAGAAAGATGCTCAATGTTGTCTGTCAATAGTTTATTTTCCACTAAACAATTTCTCACCTGATTTTTTCGATTCCAAAAATATTTTGAATTTTTTTTCATTTACACAATAATCAAGCCAATTGAGCGGTGGTTCTTCACGAAGGAAATTCAAATTGTTCATTAATAAGCCTGGAAAAACTGGCAACACTCTCCAATGATAACATTTATGGCAAAACTCTAAAACATCAAAAATACATCCAAATGTAGGTTCTCAGACGAGAAAAAAAGGTCAGAAACGAAATATTTCTAATCAATGATTTATCGAACTTTTTTTCTACAAACATGTTATGTACCAATCAGGATGAGTAGAAATATAATATGAATATAGTCTGAACAAATAGAATTTGCAAGTAATGTAATTTTATTGATACTTTATTGATAAAATTAGGCAGAAATATAGGTATAGTGATATACGTTCCTTCCAAGTATTTGCAAGTACGAATCGTACAAGTATATCTTTTGAAGTCTAACACTGGAAGAACAATTGAAAGGATTAATATGACGTGAGATAATTCTGTAACAGTAGCACAGTTCATAAGCAATATCAAAACTTCCGAACATAATTCAGAACAAATCTATGCCAAAAATTATAATGCGTTAGCAGTATAATTTCACGGTATGTCACAATTTTAATGGGCCGCGCTATTTTTCATAATATATCAGCTTTTCTCTTTGATACTGGTAAAGTTTCTGTTGGTTGAGTTGGATGTGGTTGTTTAGCTCTCACTTGTTCTCGCATAATATAGTAATGTTGAAAATTAATTTCCTCTGTCATTTGGAAAATTAAATCTAATGTGCTAATAAATGTTTAAGGCGTTAGCTGGATAAATATACGTGACGTGCAATATGCTTATTGTTAATCACTTTAGGCTTATGTTAATATTAGTTATTGATTGGTCATTTCCTTTAAGTAAGCACTTACCTCAAAGGTTTCTAAGTGTATCGTGTTAGCTTGATTATTGATAATGTTTTGAATAATATCTTTGTGTAAAGGATCTGGAAACCAAATAATGCAACACAATAGCTGAACAATCCCACTGTTGAAAAGAAATGTATGGGCATTCTACAATTGATGTTTCTTCAGCAGTTGTAGAACTTCCTTTTGCGTTTTTTATTAGATTATTATAATATACAAGTTTGTGTGAGATATTTTTTTCCCCGTTGTATATTGTTAGGATATCTTATTTGCGTGTTTCTGCCCTTGTTACTGGCTAAAGTTAAGTTTTGACTGGATATTATCATTTTGTAGTCATAATTGCTAATATTTCGCTGCTGTTAACAATTGATAAACTCTTTTCTTCTGAAGATGGCTAAATGCAGATTTCACGTAAGCTGTAGGGCATAGCCGAATTTCGGAACTATTTTTAATGACTTGAAGATTTTGTTTTCTTGAGATGTAAAAATGGTTTTTAGTTTTTGTGGTTGGAAAACTTTGCACTCAGCAAAACATTTCGTATAGTAGTATACTTTTGTAGAATTGATGGACATTTCCTACATGTTTATTGATAAAATCCATAACAATTCATGAGGCTTTCAATCATTTTTGTGTAATTTGAATTCAAAGAAGTGTGAGTAATCGAGATTCTTTAATTCCAACTTTTAAGTATATCATCTCAAATTTCCGTCTTGCTGACATAATAAATTCTCTAACGTATGGCTTCTGCAGTTCTCTAACATTTAGAATTTTTCAAATTGTGCGTAACAAGATTAGAAGCTACACTATTTACATGATTGAAATTAAGTTGATTATTGCCACAATCATGCCACACTCGAATTTAACTATCGGTTACCTCGCAGGATTGTATATATACTATAAGATTCGTTAGTGTTTCTCTTGTTACATGGCTCAGTATCAGGTTCTAAAAGCCATGATCCAGCCACTTTTTGGTTATGTTTGTACATTCTGATTGCGGCTGTTTTCAACTTTGATTAGAAGTGATTTCGTTTTGCTAAATCATGCTTGCTTATACTATTGGCTGTCATTCTCTGTTACAGTGAGATTACTTTATAAATACGTGTTTTGGATCTGTTTTTTAGATTGGAAAATAAGCTCTTAAACTCGTGCTTTGGAACGAAAAATATTTATTTTCAGTAGCCGATGCATAAGCGGTGATGGCGGAAGATTGAATAAAGCCATGTGAGTTTATTTAATGGTTTTGAAATTGTGCGAAATCGAATTTTTCTTTTTCCTTAGTCTGGCCAGACTAGAGAGATTCATGGTTGTTTCATTTTTGTTGGGAAGGTTTTAAAAAAAAGTATTTCTTAAATTTGACTATTTTCTTCATAATTGATGTGTGGATAATGATTTGTTTATAATCTCTTCTCTCTCTGTGATGTTCATATATTGTTTATAGCTCTCTTTATCCGTTGTTGGGATAATAGGATATTTGATGGACATATATTGTTATCAACTTTTTTCTAAATTAGTCTATTTTAGCACTTGTGAGATCGAGGCTCGCTAGGACGAAACTTCATTTTCTACATGAATCCACGATTAACGGGAGTATTATTCGGCACAGAATTGATATTAACTAAGATGGATTTAAAGCCATGTGAGTTTTCTCTATAATGCTGTATTTTCAAAGCAACGCAATTATTTTTCTAAATTTATTATTGAATCTGTATTCTCATTATTTAAATACTGGTGAATAATGCTTGCTGAAAAGTTTTTGGGAAAGAAAAGTAATAATACATTATTTCGCCTGAAATTAACTGAACCACATCTGAGTGATTCATAAACTGACTTTGTTTTACTTCATGTGCCTATATCCTCTGCTGCTGTGATAGATTTGTTTGTTGTGTATCCGCCTATTTAGAGGGATTTTATGAAACTAGTTTCAGCACTCGCGAAATCGAGATTTGAGACCATGGAACGGAAGTTATCGAGAAAATCGTTAGTCAAATTTTTCTCGATAACTTTTTATCAGAAAACCACAAAAATTATCAAGATTTGTTTTTGGCGCGGAGTGAGAACATTTCATGACAGCGTCTGTGTGGGCATGATAGGCGAATGTAAATTTGGAAGATTCCCGTTTTTTTGGGGTCATGAAACCAGAAATACCTGCATGAAGAATCAATGTAAGTTATAGTAATTTCATGAAACTGAAAATAGAATGTCCCTTTTTAAGGAATTTTTTCTAGTTATGTTTAGTCTTGCTTGCTAAGTGCGTTCTCTGACATAATTATGTCTCCAATTCTGTTGATGGCAGAGGACTTTCTTTCTGGGCGAATCGGTCAGCATTCATTTTTACTAGGAAGTAGTCATATTTGTTTTTGTTGGACTGTAACGCTTAGATACTTTCTTCAACTCTGGGATTTTAAACCTATGATTACTTATATTTGCAGATACTGTTCTTTGGCCTTCTTAGAAAATATGTTTTCTCGTGGAATCAATTCTTTTTGCATACTCTGGAAGTCCACATACTCTTCGGTAAGGAGTGTTTTTTAAAATATTGTGATTTATTTCTTTTAGAAGACTCATAACTGTTTTTATTTCCGGTTTACATCCTAGATTCTTTTCAAAGTGTGATTCATCAGCAAAGTGCTTCCTTTCTATTTGGTAGCTACAGTTATGAATTTTTCTACAGAAAGCGTTGAATTATTAGTGTTCCAAGCAGTAGTCACCAAAATCAGCATACCATTACCCCACTAATAGACGTAACAAAAACGTTTGATGAGGTTGGTAAACCATAAGCATTCATGTTAAGATCGGAATTTTAAAAATGATGACTGCAGAAGAATGAGCTGGAAGAGAATTGGGCGTCATATCTACTCTAATGTCGAACTGCAGTGTGTTAAATCCATCAAAAACGCTGGCGGAAGGGATAAAATTTTTGTTACTTTTCATTTTTGTTATTTGTCTTTAATTTTTTTATTTGTACTGTACATAAAATTTCATTACACATGATTGATTTTTATCATTAAATATGTTTATATACAAGGCCAGAAATTTTTGGCCGATGAAAAGCTACATGTGATTATAATTAAGAAAGTCTTCTCTCATTGCTGAGAGAAGACTTAACTTTTATTATTGTTCATAATGATGAAGTATTGCATGAAATAACCCATAAATAATTGGGTTAAATGAAATCATTTGCAATTTTTCCATTCAATGTAAGTACTCCTTTATTTTTAATGACCTTTGATATATGCTGATTGTTATGCTTTATATCTTGTAATTCATTATGTGTCTTTTATGCCATTTAATTGTTAATTGTAATTGAAAAAATTTTATTGATATTATTTATGTTGAAAATCTTTTGTAACTATGTTGTTATTGCTTTGTATTCGAATAAATTTTGCTAGTTTTCGTCATCAAAGTGGTAGAGGTGTACTGACCATTTTTTTCTCACTTCCGTAAACACAATGGAAACTATTTGTTTGTGTAGTTTTTTAAAGCTATTTGACTCGTCAATTGGGGTGTTTTAATTGCTCAAAGTGAGTGTCTTCGTTTTTTTTAAATATAAAGGACGGTTAGGGAGGGCATGGCTGTTGTAAATCGCTAGAGTCATTCATTGATCTACTGAGTTTCAAGTGTGCTTTGATCCAATTTCATCCGTTGTCTTATTGTTAAGAACTAAGGCTTGTCGTTTGGATAATTTAAGTAGATAGAAAGATGAAGTCTCGGATTTAGATTAGTTGCGCGCCAATAGATTATTAGTATATTCGCAAGCGACTAGTCATTATATATATATTGAGGCGAAGTTCTGCTCGTGCGATTTGTGTCGATTACCAGGTTTATTTGGAATGCAGCGGATTGTTAGTGGGAAACAAGCTAGTATATTAGACAAATCGCTTAGCAGAGGTAAAACAGAGGTTTGTTACTATTCAAATAAGAGCTTACTTTTTGGTGAACAAATTTAATGAATTTTTTTATTCTCTACATAGTGGATTGAATTTCTATATTGCTGGGATTTTGTCGCTTCTGTTCTTTTTATTATCTCAATGAAAAAATCATTACGGATTTTCTGTTGGGTGTATGTTGGTGATATTGGTGGATTTATGTTTTCTATATGTTTATTGCTGCAGTATGACGTGGTGAAAATCGAAAAATCTATTCAGGTAAACCTATCGTCATTTGCCTTATTGTTTGCGGAGATGATACGATACGCTAACAATCGGTCTAATACAGTTAGTGATCTGCAAGATAAGTTAGTACTTTCACTCCAGTACACCAGTATGTGACTTATATTACTTATTCTTGGTGTGCATTCTTAAGAAAGCTAGTTGCTTATCTTTTTGTTCGAAAAGTTTAGTTAGTTAGTTGGCTATACCATTAAATTCAAATATTTTTGAAGTCAGATATCTGTGCGAATAGGTTTACAATATTTTCTTTAGAAGGAAATTATTGGAAAAAATCTGTGGATTTATTCAAGTAAGAAATAAAAAATTATGGATATGGAATAAAAACAAATTTAAGTTATTCAAAATGACCGAAACGTTGTAGTGCTCTACTGGAATGGACCAGAGCTGTATAAAATTATCGCTCTAAATTTCATTAAGTAAACAGTGTTTTTCGTTATTGTGGTAATAAAGCCATGGAAGCTATTAATTGCATCTTAACTATTCTTTCAATCTTACTTTCAATTTCAGACTTGCGAGGTACGGAAAATTTGTCGGCAGCCGATTACTAGATATTATTGTGTTACGTGAGAAGGGTTATAAGCGTGAAACAAAGCTTTTGAATATGCTGATGTTTGTTAAAGGGACCATTTGGAAGAATTTATTCAATAAAGAAGCTGATAAGTTAGAACGAAGTAATGATGATCCATGCCAATGTAAGCGTCTACTGTCTTTTTCATAAGTTTCAGCTAGAATAAATGTTCTACGCGCATGATTTTTCAATCGGAAATCTTAAAAAATTGATCAAAATAATGTTTTTCTCAAGAACTTTCCAAAATTTTGGAATATATTGAAACTACATGTGCAGCATTGGTTTTTTCTTCTTATCAGAAGAAAAATCAGGAAGTGAAATCAATAGTTTTTAGTTTTTAGATTTATTGATAGAAAAGGAACCAATCGTCAATACCTATATATCTGTTCCGAAAGATAAAGGAAATTTGAACTGTGCATCGTTTGTTGCTGGTATCATTGAAGCCGTTTTAGAGGTTAAAACTTTTTGTCTAAAATTGTATATCTTTATTCTGTATTCTGACACTGTGTTTAATTTTACGTTCGAAAGAGATATGCATCAGTTGTTTCAGGCTAGTAATTTTCCTTGTAAAGTTAGTGCGCATTGGCATGATGGTACTACTTATATAATACAGTTTGATAGGCTTGTTATTGCTCGAGAGAATGCTGTTTTGGAGTCGACGCGATAGTTATTTTCTCTTTTTATTTAAAATTGCGAGCTAAATATTCTACAGTTTTGGTTTGTATGTAATAAATGATGCAAAATCGGATTTATGTTGCGTTTATTCGAAAACGTAGTAAAGTTATGTTTGCATAAGTCTGATGATTTAAGAAAATCGTTCAATAATAATTTTGTGGACATTATAACAAGTTATATAATTTCGATCACTGCAGTTGAAGCTATTTTTTCGTGTGATATAATTTTATTTTACTTTGTTGTCGAACTTGTGCATAATTTACTCTTTATTAAAAGCATATTACTTACCTTTCACAATGCTTTATTCTAAATGTCTTATCATTAATGTATTAACATTTTTGGTTACATAGAAATTTTACCGTCATATATGATTTTGATTTTGCTTGTAATTTTAGATGTTAAAATCTAAGACGTGAAATATTGCTTGATAAGTTATATGATTCTTAAAGGTTACTCTCTGCTCAGGTAGTCGTTAGTCAAAATAGTAATGGAATCTTCAGCATGAAAACTAATGATGCATACTGCTTGATCAAAAAATTATTGGAAGATGAACATGTGGTGCAGGTGTTATTGAATAGGCTATTGTATCGGATAATTTGGACATATTTTAGGTCACCTAATGTTCGCTTTTCATTATGAGAATTATAAGCAAACGTTCTTTGTTAGTAATGTGTAGAAGCTGGTCGCTAACGGATGTGAAGTGGTACACTGTAGGATTGAATACTGATAAGGAACCAGCAACTTCCCAAACGGGTACTTTTTGTCTGAAGAAGATAGATTTAGTACCAGAACGACTACATCGTCATCTCTTTGACGGTTGTGGTGTCTCAGACGCTGTTTTGAAGAATGATCCATTCAAGTCGCTTGAATTACCATGTTTGGAAGGTTCTGATCTTTTGAATCATTTCATGAACATTGCTGCCAAACAGTTCAAACCTTATCAGTGTCTTCTCCTTGAAGCAGCTAACTTAAAAAATTTACCATCTCCACCAAAGGAATGGGTGTTTAGATCCGGTTGGACCAAATATACAGAAGTTGAAGGACCAGTGAAAGTAAGAAAATCAAAGTACAGAAGTATATTTATATATGTTCAGTTGGGACTCTTCTGACATTTTTACTTTTTCTATGTTTCAGTAACTATTGGCGACTGCATTGTGTTACTTCGTAAATATCTTTTTTTCAAATTTGCTTCCTTGATGAAATTAAAAAGAAGTCTGCTAGAAATTTTAGCTTTCGTAGTACTTGTTTAGTCAAAAATGGTATGAGGAGTTCCTATTCATTTCTCGAATTTACTTAGTTTCGACATATTCTGCAGTTTTTGTTTATTGTTGAGTGATATGAATGTTACTAACTGCTCATATTTTTCTCTATTTTCGAGGCTCATAATTGTAATTAAACACTGATTTAGACCTTGTGCAGTTCTTTAAAGAAGTGTTTTTAGGTGGATTGTCCACTTGAAGATTTGATATTTTTCGATGTTGAGGTGTGTGTTCGTGATGGTCTGTTACCGACACTTGCCACTGCAGCAACACCTAGTGCATGGTATATTTTAGATAATTTTATATTAAATATACAGGAATCTTGAATTAATTTTGAGTTCTCTAGATCCTTTTTTGTATTTACGCTTTTACTCCAAAATTTTGATGTTAACCCTTATGGGAAAATTCCAATGGTAAATTATTGTTAGGTATTCTTGGTGCAGTAATCGGCTTGTTAATGGTGAAGATATTCCTAAACTCTATCGTTTACATCATTTGATTCCTTTTGAAGTGGATACGAACAATCTAAGGCATCGATTGATCATAGGACATAACGTACCATTTGATCGATCCAGAGTGAAAGAACAGTATTATAGGGAAGTAAGTGTTATATTTGCACTGATGGAGAAGTAGTATTATGCAGTTGTTGCAAATGGAGAAGAAGGGTCATAGGTAACGAAATTAATTAAAAATAGTTAACTACGTCTTCCTAGTTTTTAGAAATCGTTTACACCATTATCACGTTTTTTTCTCCAAAATCAGTTTACATTTTCATTTCGTCTTTTGTTTCCGTTGTAAAACTTCATTTAGGGAACGAAAATCCGATTTTGGGATACTATGTCAATGGCAATACCCATATACGGAATGGCTGATCATCAAGTTGCTCTTTATGAAAAAAGAGATACAGAAATTGATGATTCTGGAGTATGTAATTTTCCTTTATTGTATATTTTTTATTGTATTCATTCTCATGATGCTTGTTTCTTTTATTCTTTTATTATCTGGTTATAGTTGAATATTCCCACGTAATTTATTTGCAGCTAAACATCTTTTTTATTTCGTTATCAATGTTTAGGCTCATTTTTTTATTTTTGTAAGGAGAATTTATGACGATATTTTGTGTAAATCATCTGGTTACCATACATATTAACTTTGTAAATAAAAATGCTAGTTTTAGCGGGTCTTTTAAAAATTATTAAATAAAAACAACAAAAACATTTACAAGCCCAAAAAAAAATAGAATTACATTCGTTTTACATTACTCTCCAGTAGAATTTTTGGAAAATCCTTGTTCAAACATAAGTCAAAGATTATTAGCCGATTGGTTGGATCGATTATTGGCGATCGCGAGTATGTAGGAATTCGCTAAGTGCTTTACACGAAAAGTTATGCAGCAAGACTTCGTCGATGTCCTTGAACAAATCATTTCAAACGTTTTTTAAGAAAGAGCCAGTTGAGGAAATTCGTCGTTCATTCCAAGTTAGTTTCCTCTGATTCTTGCAAAATAAATTCATGATCAAGAATGTTGGGATTGTGTCAGGTTATGGAAATCACTGTCATCGAATTTTTAGGAGTTAACAACATATTGTGCGTACGATGTCATTGCTTGTTACGAACTATACCAAGCTTTATACCCTCACTTCTGTAAAAGGTTTGAGTTTGAAATTATTTGGCTAATCTTGATCCTTTGATTTTTACATTGGAATTTTTTTTGTAGATTTCCTCATCCGGCAACGTGGATAGGAATGCTTGAAGTTGGCAATGTTTATTTACCTATCACAAAAAATTGGCGTAAATTTTTCGATCACAACGAAACCCGAGCCAAGGATGAAAATAGAGCCGCTGCCATTGGAGTGATGCGCGCAGCGAATGAATTAGCAAAAAAGTTGAATGAATCAACTCAACTGTAAGCTTTTTGAATATAGATTCTTCTCAGTCTTTTTCAGAAACCAAGGATAGAACTGTAAACACAAGTTTTTTATATGTCTTGCTTAATTTTTTGCGTAAACACGATCTGGAAATATGTTTCAGGCACAAAACTGACCCTTGGATGTGGTCAGTAGACTGGAATTATAGTAAACAGCAAAAATCGCCTATGTAAGTTTGAAGGCTGTTTTTTATTTGTTCGGAAGTCGAGATTTGCTGAAATATGCAGATTTCAGTTCGGCTAGTAATTTAATTTACGATTCAGTTTTCCTTTCAATGAAATGACGAAAAAAATCACGCACATTTTTTTGAGAAGAATTTTGGTACTTATTAAAAATATTTTTTTATGTTGATTTGTTCATTGTTTATCTGTTTCATTTAGATGGTACGAATCATTGCTGCGCTCTAAAAGCTTTGTTGATACACCAGTTGAAAAGATAAGACAGGAAGACGTTAAACTAAAAAGCCGAATAGTACCTCGTTTATTTGGACTTTGTTGGGGGCCATATCCGCTACATTATAAAACAGATCAAGGCTGGGGGTTTCTGGTTCCAAAAGGTTATCTCTAAATATTTTTGTTGTTGTCTTAAAAACGTTCTTTCCTCCAAGATTTATATTACAGATCCGCACGTTAATTATTCATCTGTGCCAGAAATGGATGAAGTTGTATTAAGACGAGGTGTTAAAGTTGAAATTCCTGTGAGGTAATTCTAATATTAAAACATTATTATTATTATTATTATTATTTGATGTCGAAGAAGAAATTTTCACTTGATTCATGGCCTTATTTTACAGGGCAATTCTTCGTGTCATACAACAAAATATTATTGAAGGTGTCGGTGATGTTCTTCTAAAACAACCTCATTCCACTATTAGTATTTTTAATTTTTATAAACTGCCACACCCTGTAAGTCATGATTTTTCTCACTATTATTTTGCTTCATTTGTTTACAATGAATCATTTTACCATCACCGTTTCATTTAGTCTGTGATTAACTTTTTACCTTCTGAAAGAAGGTGAAGAGTTAATCATATACGAAAACCTCTCGAGTATTTATACTTTGGGTTTTAAAGAGACTGGTGTTATATCGATGAAAGAAGCTTTCTCCTTAAAAAAGATTTAAGATCGTAAAATTTTTCAAGTTTTCAGGATCGTGAACTAAATAATGTTGGTGATCCTATTGCAAAGGCATTTCATTTGGAAATCGATGAAGGGGTGTTATGGCCCATGCGTTACAAGGCGGAATTTTGGGATTTGTATAAAGCAAGAAATACAACGCGATTTTGGGGAAATTATAGGTTTTTTTAATCGTGAACTATAACTTTTATCTTTCTTACTAGAGTATCCAATTCATTTTTCATGAGTATTTAAACTTTGAGTTTTAAAGATACTGGTGTTATATCGATGCAAGGAGCTTTTTCCTTAAAAAAGGTTTTTTATGCGTAAAGTTCACTTTTTTCTATCTTTTTTTTGTTGTGTAATTTCTTATCTAATTTTTCTTACTCATAAAATTTAAAATGTCCTACATGCAGCTAACTGAATAACTCAAGCAGTTTTCATAGTCTGATTTTGCTGTCCTTGCAAATTTTGTTATATTTATTTACGTTTGTTTTTAAATGTAAATAAATATAACAACCATACATTAAGGGATCGCTTCCAAGAACAGGTAGCAATTTGGTTAGATGAAGAAGGTGAGGAAGGAGCTATTGCACCATCAATAATTCCATTTGGTACAATAACCAGACGAGCTGTTCACAAACTTTGGTTAACAGCTATAAATCAGAAAGTATTTTTTGCCATCAAACATTTCATTATTGCTTCATAGCCTAATCATCTGATAGCCGCAGATTCTAGAAATACATTTTATATGTATTTTTAACATTCAGTCAAAGTGAATATCATTTTTATTTGTTGGATCTTCTCTTCTTATTTGGATCTTATTTATGGTTTAAATGTTAAACAGGATGATCAAATGATAGGCACAAACTTGAAGTCGATGGTCGAATGTCCTCAAGATTGGTACATTGTTGGTGCAGATGTTGACTCGCAGGAACAGTGGATTGCTGCACTGCTCGGGGACTGTTGTGTAAGCAAAGGAATTGCTGGTGCAACTCCTTTTAGCAATATGCTTTTAGCGGGTTCCAAGCTTGATCATAGTGATCTGCACAGTGTTGTTGCGAAGGAAGTTGGCATCAGTAGGGATAAGGCAAAGGTCATTGCTTTTTTGCCGTTTAATCTACTTTCTTTTCTATTTACAATTAGATCATTTTTGAATCTTGTGTGTGGCACTTTCATCTTATGACTTTTAAATATACTCATTTTTATTTTTGTAATAATAATAAACTTCGCTTTCTTCCATATTTTCTTTATATTATTTTTGTAAAAGTTGTAGAATGATTATTATTTCATGTAGATATTGAACTATGCGCGACTCTATGGTGCTGGTATAGCACATGCAGTTGATTTTCTCAAACAGTCTGGTATGGATGCTAAGAAAGCAATGAGCGTTAGTGATAAGCTGTTTTCTACAACTAAAGGCAAACAGTTCAAGTAATATTTTCTTTTCCTCGTTTTCATCTTGAAAGTGATAGTCTAAAGAAAATTGGTATTTTTTTTCAAGTATCTAGATATTTGTAGTAAAGATTATGATACATTTTGTGAATATATTACTGTGTTGTTTGCTTATTAGAGATCCATGCTTCTAGAATCTAGCCAACCTAATTTATATAGTCTGTCATTTGCTTTGTAATTGAACTTCATTACTTTCTAGTTTTCTGAAGCTTAATGATGAGTACAGTGAGTACTTTCGTTGGTACGTTGATAACGCATGTGCTTCAAATCTACAATCTTATTACATATATGCAAATGGAAGCTATTTCTTGCCTGAGTATCGAATTCGTCGAGGGTACATTATATTAACTTAATTGCATGAAAGCTTATTTGTATGTTATGATAGAGTAAATATCTTCACATCAAATGCTTACAATATTACTAATTTCCATTTTGAGTATCGTCATTTAACTCTCAAATTTCAATATTTTGTGAAAATTGGAATGGATTTTGTGATTTTCACAACAATTTAAAAAATAAATGTTTTTTGTTCTAGGAAACTAACGACAGACTTTGAAGATTGGTTGTATGAAAAAATAAGGCAAAAGTTGTCCCAAAACACGCATGTTGCGAGTGAATTTAATAAAAGCTGGCTACTTGACCGAATGTATGACAGATTTAAAGAGTACCATCTTTACAGTGGAGGATTGTAAGTAGATTAATTGTACTAAATACGTCGTTGATTTTTTCATATGTGTTGTATTCCGAAGTTACAGAAGTTTCAGTGAATCTGATACATTTAATTATTTGGAACTGGTATTGAATGATGCCAATCCATCTACTCCGATTTTGAACTGCCAGCTTGGTTATTGTTTGACTCCATTATCGGAGAACGTTAGAGATCATGAATATTTTTTGAAAAAATATCGACGTTCCATCATCAATTGGGTTCTTGTTACATTTCTTCGTCCATCTAGTATTCAAAGTTTGTATAATGTACATCATTATTGAGTTTTAGTTTTCTACTACATTTAAATCATGGTAGCCTTTTTTGCGCCTTCCTTATTTTTTTTAGTAATCCATTATTTATCATCATTAAATTTTATCAAAATTAATCAGTTTTTAGGTGGTGCAGTCGAGCGCTGTTGATTTTCTTCATCTGCTAATAGTGTGTATGAATTGGCTGTGTACTATTTATGATATTAAAGCTCGCTTTGCTTTATCGATTCATGATGAAGTAAGTTCTTGCTGTTATTATTTTGAAAGCCATTTTTATCTTGTTTAGTTGTAAAAGTATTTTGAGTTATGGAAGCGCTACAGAAATCCTTTTCAGATCAGGTACATTGTTCCAGCAAAAGATCGTTATAGATGTGCTCTAGCATTGTCTTTGAGCAATATGTACGTGCGTGCAATGATTTCCCAAAAATTGGGTATCAATCAACTTCCATTGGTTTGTCATATATATATATATGTATAATCAATATCATACGGAAGTTAAGATTCTTTGCTGCATTACTATTTTTGGCGCTGGATCGTATTCTGGCATTCTCGCTTCACTTGCTGTGCGCTCAGTTCTGATGTGCAGATGTTCTCGTTGAATCTATGGCGCTGATCGAATGAGATACTTTCAAGCATTTTCTTGAAAGCAGCACTATCCTTTGGGTATATGCCTCGACGTGATCAGATATATTGATTGCGTTACTAAATAGACCACCTTCTTCACACGTTTTCTACAATATGGGCACATACCTTTCTGATTCCATCATTTTTATCTTAGAGGGGTAACAGTATGGAGCTTCATCTAGTAGAGTAGTTTTTCCAAATCGCAGCAACACTGATAAGTGTGCCATTAAGGCTAGCTCGTTACCGCTCATCTTGTTGAGCTATGCATGATGGATTCTATATCACTATATAAAAGTGGGCTGCTAATACATTTTCGACTGTTGAATTTTCTTCCAGGTCTAGTTTTTAAATAGAGTACAATAATTGCTAAGTGCATGTTTGAGCCTTTCTCTGCTTGAAAATCATTGCCCTCCTGATGTTTGTGGATGCGGTATCTATAAGAGCATTATGAACTTGGAAAAGCATAAACTACTTTTCAACTCGACATTATGAACCCTACGTTTCTTGGCAGTTACAAACTCCCTACACATGCAGGTTAATTATCTATCCTGTATCCTATCTAGTAACTGTCTAATATGTGATCTAAGGCTTTGGAGTTTTCTGGTTCCAGTTTGAGCACCCCAGTGTAATAGTTTATTAAGCTTATGCCCATGTTTATTCACTGCTTTGATCAGCTTCTTTCCATTTAATGCGATTTTGGCTAATCACCCAATTTGCGCTAAAATCTCTGCTTAGACTTTATTACAGTTTTCACCTATAGGTGCACTAGTCCTGCCTTTCACTATTCCAAGGTATATTCATACCTTTGTGTTCCTTGCAAGGACGCTTCCTTATCAGTGCATGTCTCGGTGTTTTTTTCTGGATTCACCTTTAACTTTACCACTTTAAACTTCGGTACAGCTGGGTATATATGTTATCTATTTTTAATCGTTTTATCCTACAACTGTTCTCTCTATAAATTAAGTAGATTAATTTTTTTTAAATGCTTGGTCAAGTCAGAGTATTGTTTTCAGTCAGTTGCATTCTTCAGTCAGGTTGACATAGATCGCGTACTACGGAAAGAAGTCACTTTAGAATGCAAGACTCCAAGTGGTGAATCCATTCAACCAGGTTAACTTTTCAGAGTTTTAAGAGTTGTTTGTATCTGAAAATCATGGCTGAATTATATATTTCATTGAGTGGTTGTTTAGGTGAAGCGCTGGATATAAATGCTATCTTGGAAAAAACTGGTGGCACATTAAGAAAGAAAAGGAACATTTAAAATACTAGCGTATCACAGCTTTACGCTTAGGATGGAATGTGCGAATTTGAATGAAAATAAATTAGTATAATATTTGATCTCGTGAGAAAAAACGTAGTTACTGTGGTTATTTACATATCACCGCTACTGCTGCGGATGTTGGCATGGTTTTTCTGACTGCAATAAATTTTTCTACAGTTTTTGCAAGTACTTAGTTAAGGTTTATCATTCTGTAATTTTCGATAAAGCTTACGAGTGTTGTATGTTGCAAACTGGCACAAAAGAAGAAAATTAGTTTATTGTTGATATCGGATTGAATATGATGTGCTGCATATCAGTTCTAATTTACTTACAGTTGTAGCAGGAGCCGTTAGCATATTTTACAACTTCTTATGTTTTCGATAGTACCCGTAAGAAAAATTTTTCTTCTCAAGTATAAACTTCATATATGAAAGCATGCAAAAATCATGTTGACAAATCCACATTTTTACAAAAAGTGTATCAAGTACCCATATTATATAAACATTCAGTATAAAATAAAAGTGTGTCAAAGGCACAGGTTAGTTTTGTAGATTGGTTGTGTATTTTCATCATTTTGAACAGTATAAATTGGCGGGATAATTTGATTCCTCCTTGAACTGCTTTGCTCTTTAGACTCTGCAATAACATGTAAAGATAATACTTCTATAATTCTTAATATTTCTAAGTGAGAAATAAACATTACTTGTTATTTCGATCAAATGTTGTGCATTATTCTTCAAAGTGATCTTAATTTTTAGGTGTGAGACATTAAGATTTTATGTTTGAGCGCATAATATCTTCTTTAAAGACATTTATTTATTTATTTTTTTTAAATTTAGCAAATCAGTGCTATGATAATCACTGACTTACTGTTGAAATGTACATCAACATACTTTATTATTTTTTGAATTTTTTGTAATGATTTAAATGCTGACGAAAATAAACGTCCAGAGCTAGTGAAATTTCTTTGTGTATTACTGAAATCATTTTTTTCCATACTTTTAAACTATTTCAGTCATTCTCCTTCCTTCAATTCCATACTCATTCGTATTTGCACAAATTTTTGCATAATTTTTATTTTATGCACTTGAGTCATTTTTCTTGCATATTTCAAAAGTCTATTTTGTCTATTATTGTTGGGGACACAAATTTTTTTCTCGGGATGGAAAATAGTTCTTAATAGTTTTAGTTTTAATTCTTGATAATGGGGCTTAAATGACTGTATATGCAAACCATGGACTTGTTGGGTTCTTCATTCTAATTATGATTGTGGCAAAAAATATAAATAATCAAAAAAAAAATTACCATTTTCGTGTTCTTGAATCATTTTGATTGCTTCGTCATAAGTTGGTGGATGTTCACTGGTTCCTGATGGTCCATAGGTACAAGCAGAATATTTTGGTGGCATTTGAGCTTGTTCTTCTACTACTGATTCCGTTTCATAGCCCATCAGTAATCTGAATAGGCTGAAAAAAAAAAAATATATATATATATATATATATATATATATATATATA